TGCTTCTCCCTCTCCCTCTCCCCCTGCTTGTGTTCCCTCTCTCACTGTGTCTCTCTCTGTCAAATAAATAAATAAAATCTTAAAAAAAAAAAAAAGAATGAGTCCCTAAAGACTTTCCAGATGTGTCTAATTCAGAGAGACATTTGTTTTTAAAATTGATCAGAAATTATATGCATGCATTTTCAGGGGCACTTGGCTGGCTCAGTCTGAAGAGCGTGTGACTCTTGAACACAGAGTCATGAGTTCAAGCCACACACTGGGTATACAGATTACTTAAATAAATAAAAACTTTAAAAAAAAAGAAAGAAATTATATGCATACATTGTCAAAACAAACTGGATGCCAAAAAAATTGCTACTGTTTATTCAAAAACTATATACATGCATTATATAGACATGTATAAAGACAAACTATTTATTTCTGTGATGGCCCTGTGGGAGGGGTACTTGGGGGGTTGAACAACAAGAAGGGAAATTTACTTCTCTCTGCTATTATTTTTAATAATGTACCATATTGTGGACTACAACTCCTCCTCGATTTATGATGGGGTTACATCCTGATAAACCCATCATAAGTTGAAAATGCACTTAATACACCTAACCTACCGAACATCATAGTTTAGCCTAGCCTATCTTAAACATGCTCAGAACACTTATATTAGCCTACAGTTGGGAAAAATCATCTAACACAAAACGTATTTTATAATAAAGTGTTGAGTGTCTCATGTAATTTATTGAATGCTGTACTGAAAGTGAAAAACAGGATGGTCGTACAGGTACAGACGGCTGTAAGTTGTGTCAGTTTTAAGTGCTCGTGATCACGTGATTGACTGGGAGCTCTGGCTTGCTGCTGTTGGCCAGCATAACAAGAGAGTATCGTAACGCATATCGCCAGCCTGGGAAAAGATCCAAATTCAAAATCCCAAGTACAGTTTCTACTGAATGCCTACAGCTTTTGTACCATAGTAAAATCGGAAAATCGTTAAGTCGAACCATCATAAATCAGGGACCATCTGCACCTACTCTAAAAATAAATAGAATTTATCTTTAAACTAATCTGAAGGCCATGATCTTCTCCACGCCTTCAATACGAAATCTATGTAAAAAGGAAAGGTCCTAAAACCCAGGTTGCAAAAAGGTTCTTAAGAGGTCAGTCTCCTTCCTGAACACATGAAGGAGGGAAAGCCTTCCCACCCCATATTTTCCTGCATGCACTTGGACAAAAGAAAGAGCATGGGATTTGGAATTAGGGGATCTAGGTTTGGTTCCCGTCACCAGCACTTACTAAGTGTGTGACTCTGAGTTCCTTAAGCCCTCTGTGCCCCAGTTTCATTTCTGAAGTGAGGACAATGGCAGCACCACCTCCAATGAGATTGTGTGAGGAATAAATAAACTATAATATGAGCACAGAATTTTGTCAAAATAGTATCCAGATGGCTGTATGAGATACAATTTGTAGTGCAGAGATTGTTCCTCAAAAGCATTGGTTCGATCCCTTTGGCTGCCATGAGAGTGCCCATAAATGTATGCCTATGGCCCCATAGTAGCCAATAAAGTCATCTCATTCCAGAGATAAACCAGATTCTCTTCTCTCCACAGCAAATATCCTGACAGTGATCATCCTCTCTCAGCTGGTAGCTAGAAGGCAGAAGTCCTCCTACAACTATCTCTTGGCACTTGCTGCTGCTGATATCTTGGTCCTCTTTTTCATTGTGTTTGTGGACTTCCTGTTGGAAGATTTCATCTTGAACATGCAGTTGCCTCAGGTGGCCAATAAGATCATAGAAGTGCTGGAATTCTCATCCATCCACACCTCCATTTGGATTACTGTTCCATTAACCATTGACCGTTATATAGCCGTCTGCCACCCACTCAAGTACCACACGGTCTCCTACCCAGCCCGCACCAGGAAAGTCATTGTAAGTGTTTACATCACCTGCTTCCTGACCAGCATCCCCTACTACTGGTGGCCCAACATCTGGACTGAAGACTACATCAGCACCTCCATGCATCATGTCCTTATCTGGATTCACTGCTTCACTGTGTACTTGGTGCCCTGCTCTATCTTCTTCATCTTGAACTCAATCATTGTGTACAAGCTTAGGAGGAAAAGCAATTTTCGCCTGCGTGGCTACTCTACAGGGAAAACCACTGCCATCTTGTTCACCATTACCTCCATCTTTGCCACACTCTGGGCCCCCCGCATCATCATGATTCTCTACCACCTCTATGGGGCGCCCATCCAAAACCGCTGGCTGGTGCACATCATGTCCGACATTTCCAACATGCTGGCCCTTCTGAACACAGCCATCAACTTCTTCCTCTACTGCTTCATCAGCAAGAGATTCCGCACAATGGCGGCTGCCACGCTCAAGGCCTTCTTCAAGTGCCAGAAGCAACCTGTACAGTTTTACACCAACCATAACTTTTCCATAACAAGTAGCCCCTGGATCTCGCCGGCCAACTCACACTGTATCAAGATGCTGGTGTACCAGTATGACAAAAATGGAAAACCTATAAAAGTATCCCCATGACCCCATAGGCTTGGCACCTAGTGCCTCTGTCTAATCTATTTCCCAGATGGGAGGGTAGCCCACTTAAGAGTGCTAATCTGATTTCCTGTCTCCATGGACTGAGCAATTCTCAGACTGGTAGATGAGAAAAGATGGAAGAGAAGAAAGAAAAGCATCAATCTTGTTTTCATTTATGCATTCATTTTCACAATGTGACTTGACAGCAAAAGTTCCTACCAGTTTGAAGATACCTTTGGAGGTTGTGTCTTCATCCTGTGGCCAGTGAGGACACATAATAAACAGTCCATGACTTTGCACCTTGGCACCAACTACAGTCATTGGGAACCGCTCATTTATGTGACACACCAAGCCATGGTAGCAGGTAGCTGATTCCACACTCTTCTTCCAAGAGCTGAGGTCAACCATCGCTTCCCTGTGCCATCCCCAGCAGCTAACAATGCTGACCAATTTGGGATTTTCCCAAGGTGCCCTTTGTCTTAGAGAAGGTTGTGGTCTTGAAGTGTCCCTGGAACCCTAAACTACAAAATGACACTGTGGGGACAAGGGAGTATTAATCCCATCCAAACTCTGGCCAGAGCTTCTTTGGAAAGCCTCCAAATCAACATAACTACGACCCTCAGACCTGGGTCTAAAATGCAGTCTTTCTATTCGCCATTATGTATAGATTTTATCTATCTCCTCCAAAATAAAGACCTCGCCTGGTGGGGGGAAAGGAGGATCTCTTGAGCCCAGAAAAACAAAAAAAAATAAGCCCAGTCTTGCCATTGTTTCGATCCATCCTTGTGTCAGCTGTGTATGATCCCTTTACTCAAAAGAGCTTTCTTATTGCGGTACTACTCAAGCTTCCTGGAGAAGCCCTTTACGTGTAGAGTTGCCAACCCTGCCTCCTTGCTTGCTGAAGCCCTCACCAAATCGTTTTATTTGAAGTGACTTCCAAACAGGATTTAATTTTTAAGGGTCAGGAACTGTAGCTCTCCAGGTGTGAAGGGAGGCGTTCTCCACTCCGCCCCACAGTCTAGCTGGCATTGCTATTCAGCCACAAAGGCAGATATAATTGACATGGAAAGGTACCCATGTTGTTTGCTAGTCTGCCCTTTGATGCATATGGCTCATTAGGGTAGTTCCAGCTTTCAGTGAAGCTATTTAATCCAGAGCTTTTGCAAAATGATAAAATATGAATCTATTTATTTGTTCTCCCTTTGCCTGTCCAAGGCAAGAACAGCTCTACAATGGAATTAATAGGGGCTTCCCTGGGATTTACCACTCATGTGTGCACACACACATGCAGACACATGCTTGATTATAGTAGGCTTCTATGTATCCTGTGATGTGTTTTAAAAGGGAAACCCATGCTGGAGTTCCTCTTACTTAGCCTTTTTAAAAATTTCTCTTCCAGGTTCCCAGTATTTTTCCTGTTTTGGAAGAAATCTCCCAAAATGATTTTGGAATTGTATGATATTTTTGGTGACCAAACAAAAAGCAGACAGTCCTCCTGGAACACTTGGTTCCTCAGGTTGGATTCTTACTACATATTTAGTCCTAAATTGGAAGGCATGTCTACCCTTTTTAAGGGAATTTGCAATAAATGAGTGTGGTAGAAAAGGCCACTGTGCAACACATGCCCTAAACTTTAGTCAATGCCCTCAATACTAATTCAATATAATTTTAGGTTACAGTAGTCCTGATGATCCTAATTCCTACTCCTTTTAAATGACTGCAGTAGTCTCATCTTACCCAAAGATTAGATTCTAAGTCAGTGCAAAAGAAAAAAATCTGGCAGAGCCAAAGTTACCTCTGCAAAGTCATCAGGAAGGAGCCATGTTGGAGACCTCATTCTATCCCTTATAAAATCTAACTCAGCGAAGTTTTTCTCCAGCAATAGAACAGATTACCTAGATCAAGGACAAGACAAAGTTGGTGTCCACTTAGAGACTATATTATATGACTCTAATGTATCTTAATGAGAACATTAAGATCACACTGATACAGCAAAATGCTCCCATTAGAAGAGGTTCATGGAAATTGTTTGAGGGACAAGGAGGTTAGTATGTCCTATGTCACACTATCCCCAGAGCATATGTGCATCCAGTGGAATGGTAGGCAGACTCCTCTACATCCTTTAAACTGCATTTCTTTCTGTTTCTCTTTTGCCAAGCACGTGTAGTCTGAATATGTCGTGTTCATTAAATGTGTGTATGATGCGATTCCACCATACCCCCTTATGAATGAACATTGACCAAAGGCTACCTACACCGAATATATATATATATTTATATATATATTTATTTATTTTTTAAACACATAGCTCAAAAAATGCTAATTTGAGCTATATGTGGATGAGTCACAGTGCAATAGCTATAATGATTAAGCAATTCCTCTTTAAGAATGTATGCAACATGGAAAATATGTGTGAGGGTCTCAGTGCTCTCTGCTCCACATTTTTTATTGTATGTAAAAATTGTTAATGTTTAAAAAGTTTAAAAAACTGGGTGTGCATTTGGAATGTTTTCCTCATACACTCATTTATTACTTCTCTTACCAATAGAGGCTGTACCAAGTAGTATTGTGATCTTTTTTCCTTCTGACTGTATTTTATATTTTGATAAATAATATTTAAAAGAGGTCTGATTCTTGAAGGCATTTCAATGAGTTGTCTTCTGGTTAAAATGCATAAGAATGCCCACTGGGTTAGGTTGATACATATGTCCTAAACTTTATTTCAGATAATCTATGGACTTTTAATTTATCATTATTTATAGTAATAATTGTGGACAATAATGATAAGGTTTAAAAAAAAAAACAACTTTTAAGCCTTTTCTTTCAGGCCAGTTTTGGAAACAGAGCCTTGAATTTTGAAGCCTGTCTTGTAAACAGCTGCTGTTGATGGCATTTAAGCAATTGCCTTATATCAGGTTTTTTGTGAAAGACTGTTAACTAGCATCTCTCTTGTGTGATTTGTGTCCTTGGCTGGACATGCAGTGATGCTACCTACACACGTACATGCTTTTTATTCGACAGCTCAAGCACTGAACTGTCTCATGGGGAAAGAAATGAGGAGCATGACAGACAAACCATAAAAGACAGACCATGAGAAGCTATGAACTTCCATTTTGCAAACATTCTGCAAGTGGAAAATTATTTTGCACAGTTGGTGCCTACTGGTCCAACATGAGGGGCCTATCTAAAGTGAATTAAAGACTATAATGTTGGCTATTCCAGTTCAAAGAATGGAATAGAATGTTACCATAGAAGAATAGTAAATGTTCATATTTTCTTAATTAGATAACATATTGTGTTTGAACTTGTTTGTATTATAATAAACTCTAACATGGTGCACTCTTGGTGTTTGGAATTTGCGTATATGTTCAAGCTATGGCAGAACTCGGACTAAAAATTTTTAAATGAGCATTTTCCTTATGCTTTATGCTGGTACTAGAATGAGACCTGAGTCCCACCTGTCCCTTGGTTAGCCAGATATAGTTCAGAATTTAAGACCACTGAACTCTGTTTCCTATAATCCTAATTAGGTAGTTTACTGGGTATAAATCTGAATTCTCTTCTGACTTCATCCTCTACATGTCTTCGAGACAGTGATGGCTATAATCTAAGTGGAGAACTAGCACAATGGCTAAGAGCTTGGACTTTTTTTCTTTTCATGACTTGTTTGTATCTTTTGACCCCCTTCACCCATTTTTCCCACCTTCATCCCCCACCTCTGGCAACCACCAACTTGTTTCCTGTATCAGAGCTTTGTTTTTGTTTTGTTTTTTAAATTCCACATACAAATGAGATCATGCAGTATTTGTCTTTTTTTTTTTAAAGATTTATTTATTTGAGAAAGCGAGAATGAGAGAGAGCACATGAGATGGGGGAGGGTTAGAGGGAGAAGCAGGCTCCTCCCTGAGCAGGGAGCCCGATGCGGGACTCGATCCCAGGACTCCAGGATCATGACCTGAGCCGAAGGCAGTCGCTTAACCAACAGAGCCACCCAGGTGCCCGAGTATTTGTCTTTTCTGTCTGACTTATTTCACTTAGAGTAAAGCCCTCAAGGTCCACCCGTGTTGTTGCAAATGGCAAGATTTCATTCTTTTTTATGGGTGAATAGCATTCCACTGTGTATATACACCACATTTTCTTCACCCATTCATCTATTAATGGACACTTAAGTGTTTTCATACGTTATAATAGCTTGACAATGGGCATGTCCCAGCTCCCCAATTTACTAGATGGGTGGCCTTTAACAATTCCTTTAAGATCTCTGAAAGACTGTCCTCAGATAGAAAATGGTGCAAAATTTAATTTTTTCCAGTTGCGTGCAAGGTAAATAGAGGCTCTCAAAGTCAGGAAATCAAGGTCTGGAGTCAGTTATGGCAGGCTATAACTTTGCTGGCTATGCCACTTCCTAGCTGTGTGGACTTGGGCAATGTTGTCAATCCCTCTGAGTCTCAATTTCTTCTCCATAAAATAGGGCTAACAAGTAATTCCAATACATTCCTCATGGGGTGATTATTAATGGCAGAGCTAAAAAGAGCTTCCAGTTGCACATCATTTTACAGGTAAGGATACTAGGCCAAAAGAGGTTAATGATTTTGTTCAGAGTAGTCACTAAACACTTCCTGCTTTCCACTTTACCTCACTGCCTTCTCTGCAAGATTCTGACTCCTCTCCCCTGCACCAAAGACCACATTATTTTGTGCCCTTTTTAGACCTGAGTATATTGCATAGTTTTCCAACCTTTCAAACCCAGGTCATCCAAGCATGAGATATATTATAACAGCATCATAATTAAAACACTTGGCTTGACCTTTCCCTGAGGGAGAATTTTTTTTAAGTTGACTCTCTGGAATCCTAACCATAGCTCTTAAAACTATCTATGCATTTCCCACACAAACCACCATCAATTCTGACAGCCACCCACAAACTATTGTCACAGTCTATCTTTGCGTCAACTTTGAGAATGAAAGTAACTTACAAGTTGAGAGGGAAGTACAGAAAAGCAAGGAATTTGCTGAGAAGGTGGCAAGCAGAAGCTGTAAGGCATGGCCACAGCATCCTCATTAATTCTGTTCATCAACTCAGGAAGGCGGGATAAAAGTGAGTTGATGAAGGTTGAACTGTTAAATAATAATCCTTTTATTAGTGCACTCAGCTAAATGTGATGGCTCAGCCTCTTCGGAGGGTGTGCAATTAATCCATGCACTTGCCAGACACAACAAGAGGAATAAGAG